ATTATGCTATGCTACGCTATGCTACACTACTCCTAAAAAAGGAAAAAAGATAGGTGTAAATCGTACCCAAAGATGTCTCGTATGCACAGTATGCCTTATGTGCAGGCTGTAGAGTGCGTGTGAGGTATTGTGGGTGTGTGATTTCTAACCCTTTGCTACGAGCATGGCTCATTTAATTTATAGACAAAGATTTGGGAAAGGTAACTGTTTCTGACGTGCCCCAGAAGTGCATAACCGTTCTAAACTTCCACATCATGGCTTATTCCCGGGCACGTCTTTGGATAACTCTTGGAACTACTCATTAACTTCCCCAAACCATTTTGCAGCCTTTGACACTTATTACATGATTTACTTCAACCCCTCTTAAATCGTGTCTCCTTTAAGCTCTTTATTCTGAGAGGTTACGAAGTGTATTCGTGTATGTCCGGATCCTTGGGATTTCGAGTAACCAACGAAAAATATACTTGAGTATTTCCTGATTTTCCTTGTACTTTGAGAGGTTGCGAGGCTGTGAGCCTTTCTCCTGAGCAGCATCCTTCCCGGTTCGAGGATTTCGAGAGTTTCACGAAAAATGTCTTCGCGCATCTCTTGATTCTCTTCAAGCTTCGTATGTCTTCTTCAGAAACTTCTTTGCCGTTTTTCGATCACCTAAGATTTCGAGCACTCTTGTATTTCGAATATCTCTGAATTTATTTTTTGGTACTAACACCGTCCCAACTTTAACAGGAAATATCCGGTTTGACCGGATATGGATACGGGTACTAGTAAAACCCAATATATTAAACTGGGTACGGGTACGGGTATATACTTACCTGCCCCGTACCCGTCCTCGACTCCTCGCCCCCATCTCCGGTTTAATATCCACCCCCAATTTAATTGTGTTAAAAAAAATTAATATTTTATTATGTGTAATTATTTATTATAATGTGAAACATTTATAGTTGTTTAATTATTAAGAAATAGATAAATAACCTAATTATAATTATAATATAATAAAAAATAATTTAAAAATATTGTGTATTTTTTTTGCAAAAAATAAAATAAAATAATTTTTTACGGGTACGTGTACAAGTATACCCGATATCCGACGGGGACGGGGATGAGGATGAAAATTATATACCTGACGCATACAGGTACAAGTACGGGGATGGCAGGACGGGGATGGAGACGGGTATCATGAAACCTGTACCCAATACGGGTATACCCAATACCCGACGGGGATGGGGATGAAAATCACATACCCGACGGGTACGGGTACAGGAATGGGTTTGTGTTGCGGGGACGGGGACGGGTATCATAAAACCCGTACCCGACCCGCCCCGTTGTCATCCCTGACTATCTAAAGTTTCTAGATCCGTCACTAGGTGTGGACTTGTGTGATTGCATGTATGTTTTATCATGCATGAATTAGATTGAACCTGAAAAATGGCACATATGATAGGCAAGGGATATCAAAAGGCATGACACAAATTACCCATGAAATGCTGTACAGAAAATAAATCTCAAAAATAGAGCAAAAGGCTATACAACCATGCCCTGCTGACGACTACACCATGCATACAGACACGTGCTCATTAGTGTGCACATAAAAAGAGGAATGAATGCACAAAAAAAGGGAATCAATACAAAAAGTATTTGACCATTGTTAAGCATTTGTTTCAAAACCAATAACAGATTTGCAAAATTTTGGTACAGAACCAGGTATAAGTGGGCTAGCCTTTTCCATCAGTCAACTTTGCAAAATCTATAAAAATCACTTTATTAAATAGTAAAATAAAAGATTTAGAAAAGATAAAGAATAACTTACCGAAACACCGGCAGGTGGGTCACGATAACCAGTTAGAAGGGCAAAAACATAGTTCTGACCGTCGTGACGGGCCTGAAAAATTAAAATAATATATATTTATGGTAGACATACATTATAAAATTCCAAAGACATTGCTATTAAATAAGTAGCATTACTTTAGTAATAAGACTTAGATCAGGAGGATAAGCTCCTCCATTAGCAAACCTAGCAGCTGATTCATTTGCATATGGCTGAGGAAAACGATCGCTGAGTTTACCAGGGCGTGTAAACATCTCTCCCTCATCATTAGGGCCATCAACCACCTCAATCTCAGCTGCCATAGCCTTTACCTCTTCTTCTGTATAAGCAACACCAACCAAATCACGGTATGATATCAAAGACATAGAATGGCAGGAAGCACAGACTTGTGTATAAACTTGATGACCCCGACGAATCCTGCCCATGTAAAATTAATTGAAAGAATTAACAATTTAAGACATTAATTATGATTAAATTATTGATGGTAATATGACCTTAATGTGAAATCTGGTTTAAATACTTGTTAGCAGCAGAATATAGGATAGGGATCCTCTGGAGTTCATAAATAAACTGCATCCAGTGCACTTTGAATCCAATTACTTTTGATGACAGCACCCAGTTATTTGTAATTCTCATATAAAATAAATTTAATGTATCAAGGGCATAAATCCATGCAGTTTAAAAAACAATTGCACAGGATCCAAAACCCAGAACATGTTTTCACTATTTATGAACCCTACTACAGTTAAAGCCCTTAAAGCAGGAAATTATTAATTTTACAAAATTCAGAGTTTAAACTATTTCGCTAGAAAAATTATGATGCAATCAATGTATAATAAATAGAGTAAACAAACATGTTAGTCCTCCAAAAAGATAGGTGACATCACATTGGTTCTCAGTTCTTACTACGGAAGGCAAAAGATAGGAGGAAAGCATGCCATATAGGTCTCTCAGTAATGGCTTCCTCAGAGATCATGGGCATTCAAATGGATTTGATATCATTTATGGTAATTGAAGGACTTATTTACTATGAATGGAGGACCAATTACATCAAAGTCACAAAAGATAAAAACCATGCTACATCACCTCAAAGACATGAAATGACAAAAAAAGAAGAAGGATGAATGACTAATCTAAGGATGGGATAAAAGATAAAATTAGGCTAATTAATTAGAGAGAAAATAAACTCAACATTATTACATGAAATTTAGCAGGGATAAGATTGAGTATCTAAGTTTCTAACTTGGTAAATACTAATATCCATGAGCAAAAGATAAGAAAATATAGGGAAAATTCAAGTCAAACTTACGAAGCATGATCATATGAACTAAGAATTCCCTTGTGAGGCCATGGATAGCTTGGACATGCCAAGCCATGCTCAGCTTCATCAGCTGCTGCTGTTGATGCAAAACTGAAAAAGCCTGACATACCAGCTCCAATTAATGCAAGTGCTCTTAAGGACCTATTGCCAGTGGAGCCAGCATCATCTTTCTTTGCTATGATGGGTGTCAACAAGGAAGAGTTCTGCAGTGAGTATACAGCAGCTATTAGCAATAGCAACAGACAGAATCAACTTGTTTGCATGGGAAGCAAACTTTTATCAAGAAACTGAAATCATACAACAAGCATAAAATCCACATACAAGTCTGTAAAAGGATTGAGCTTATATTGGAAGATATATCCCATTAGTTGGATCCAACTTTGCAATGCTATTGCATGTTTGGCTACTGATTTTTTGGGAAAATAATCACTTTCTCTAGAAAGCATTCCCCAAAAGCTGGCAAAAAAGTGATTATTTCCACAAAATAAGCTAATCCAAAGACATACTTGACAGGGTAAAGAAAAAAAGCTAGCACGTGCCCTAATCCATAAAAACATTTCCACTCCACATAAATCAGAATTAAAAGTAGAACTGGAGTTATGCATTTGATAATTAGAAAACCATTCTGCCAATTCCCGCAAGCTAAATTTCCAATCCATTACAGGTCATGGAGACCTATACGGATCCAAAGAGGTGATTAAGTAGAAAAGCATCAAATTAACATAAAGCGAGGGCCAGTGGCTTACAGTAAATTGAGGGTTAAGTTTCCTCCTCAATAGCTGCTGAATAACACCTCCAGCCATCTCAGTCACGCTGTAGGTCATTCACAAATAGTTAACACATAAGTAACACCATCCAACTAAGTATTAGACATAAAGTTAGAGAAATAAGCACATAAATGAAATTTCCAAACAGTTCACCAAATTTCACCTGCAACAGAACAATCATGAAAGCTGGCAATGGGAACTGCCACAGGAAATGCTATCACACTTAAAATGAAACGCAAGATTATGCTAAAATGATATGGCAAGCAAAATAGCTGTAAACACTATATAAAAGTGTGTAGCTTCAAAATGATGCATATTTCAACAAAGAGAACCCCAAACAAGATGCATATTGAAATTATGGCTTAACAAACTTCAAATTCAATCACACGATACATGTTCATTATCAAACATATATCAACAAACAAAGGCAATACGAGATGAAATGATCTAAAGTGCCAAAGAACCATGAATTTAACTATTACCCGCGACGAATGTAAAAAAAATCGTAGATCCAAAACTCACTAGGTAACAGCATCACCAACATAATAACAATAACAACGATAATGATAAAATAACAAGAACAACAAAAATACCGGTTGTAGCTCGGCAATCACATCAAACTACGTATCTAGCATATAATTCTAAGCAGCATATTTCCTAAATCTTTGGACAACATCTTACTAATTGACAAATAAGAACAAAAACAAAAAGGGGATTTAACAATAAGACAAAAAAGCAAGTGAGGGAGAGGCGAAGGCGAAAAGAAAAAGGACGAAACGAAAAGGGGAAAAAGAAAACCTAGATGTGGGGAATGGGAGAGGAGAGAAGAGAAAGGGGGAACTCACGTAACGGAGGGAAAAGCGAAGGTTGAAGGGTGAAAGCGAAGTGAGGGAGTTGTGTTATGTGGCAGATTCAGATGAAGAGAACAACAGAACCAGCAGCAGCCATCGCGTGTTTCCGCTTTGCACCACACGTTCCGTTCTCGTCTCACCACTTTTTGGGCTTTTCTTTATGGGCCTCCACCAACCATTGCAGCCCGGTACTTGTTAATGCTCTATTTGAATTAGGAATGGAATAGTGGGGGAAAAAAATTAAGAAGCCAAAAAAATATGTATGAATATGAATTTATACTAATATAAAAAGAAGATAACTTTTTCGGTAATTATTTTGGTTTTTTTTTATTATTATACTTTTTTATTTTAAAAATTATAAAAATATTTTTTAATTAAATTTAAGAACGTGAAACTAATGAATTTATACTAATACTAATATATAAAGGGATACTACTTTCAATAATTAATTTTGATTTCTATTTTTACATTGACCATTTTATCCTTTATTTATTTTTCAATAACTATTTTTTTTTATGAATAACTTCTCATTTTTTCCTTTTTATTTATTTTTTTTTCTTTTAATATAATGTAAGCACGGAGTGCCTTTTTCTTGCTAGTGATTAAGAATATGGATTCTAAATTCTAATTTTGAATATGAAATAGAATATATTAGATGATAAATATTTATTTTGTATTTATTTGTGATTTTTGACAAAAATCAATCATTCTTTTTAAATAATATATATTTCTTATCAATATTATGATTATAAATAAATAAATATATTATACAAATTCGATTGATTTTTTAGGATTTAGAGAAAATATACAGATTCTTAATCAAAATTATTTATAATATATGGTTGATTTGATTGGATCAATAAAATAAAGTATTTAGATTCTTATTAGGAAAAAAATCAATTGATAATATATCTATGATCATCACTTTGGTCATATATTTTACGGAAAATACAAAATAAGATATTAAAAGAAGAAAGAAGTTATAAAAAAAATATAATATTGTAATATTTGTCCTATATATACAAATATAAATTTACTCAGAGTAGAAACTTAGAGTTATAGTGATCCAGTTCGGTCTATTCAAAATTCTTAGGTTTGTCTTATTTGGAGATAAAAATCAGGACGTCTACATCTTATGTTGGTTATTATGTTCATAAATTTATTTCAACTTGTATAAATGCTATTGTTACGAGTAAAATAATGTAATTCTTTTGACTTAAAAAAATAATGATAACGATAGCATAAAAAAAATAATAATATATTTTGTAAGAAATAAGAAGAAAAAGTAGAAGAAAAAAAATTCTCTACTTGTTTAGAAATATAAAAATGAGAGAGAAAAGTTGTGAAAAATATATATACAAATAAAAGATTATATTCGTCCCAAAAAAACTGAACTTTTACTTCCTTATTTATTTTTAACAAAAGAATATATTTCTTAATATTTTTACGTTACAATAAAATTACTTAAGTTTCAAAACAATACAAAACTTAAATAAGATGACAAGTGGAAGCTATTCAACTCCCTAAAAACAAATCAACTATTGGAACTAAATGGGTATTAAAAAAAATAGATGAAATAAGTAAATGAGAAATAAGACAAATTATTAGTTCAAGGTTTCTCACAATAGGAATGTGCACTTTACTGAAATTTTTGCACATGTTGGTTTCGAAGTTATTTGTAACATCTTGGTTTTTGAAAATAATTTATAATTATTTAGTTTTTCTTAAATAATATAATTTATTTTATAATTGAGAGGGAGAGGGAGAGTTAAGTAGTTATAAGGTGACTTGTGTTACTCAGGTCATAAATTTTAAATTGAAAATCTTGAACTCTATTTGATAGTTCCAAAACACTAAGTTAATAAAAAGTTAAAATATTTTGGATGGAAAATTTAGAAATTTGAGATTTTAAAATTTAAATTTTTTAATTTTAATTTTTATCATTTTTTAAATATTTTATTTGGGTAAGTCAATTCAAAATTTTTTAATTTTAAATTTTTATTTTGGATATAATTATTTGATTTTAATCATGGGTAAAATTGATTTTAAACATATATATAAAGATTAAATTTTATAAGAATAAATATTATTCATTTAAAAATATATATTTAATAGTTTTAAAAATTAATATTAGGTAATGTTTTATAATTTAAAAAATATCTTTTAATATCAAATAATTGAGAGAGAGGAGAGAGC